GCGACACGGTCAAACCAGCATGACTCTGTGGTTGCTGTCGTGTTTCCTCCCCGACACACAACAAACGTGGTCAAGCTGCTCAGACATGTTCATTAGCACAAACCTATGTGAGCACCTGTTGTCATTAATGTTGTCATTATTATGATGAAGATGAACAAAACAACAGGAGTCTCCTCCTCAGCTCAGATCAACCCCATGATGCAGGTATCTGGCTGGAACAGGTGAGCATCACAGCAAACCAGTGGAGCAAACTGAGCTTTAAATATGTTGGTTTTATGCTCTTTTTCAGCTCCAAAACATGAAAGTTAACAGGTGAGATGTTGCATTTTTATTTAAGATAAAATTATATTTTATTTTGTTTTTGGCCCGTGAGAAAAGATTTAACCTACAGTAAACAGGAAGTGGAAAGGCTGCAGATAGATGAATAGAATAGAAAATCCCTTTATTGTTCCTCAGTGGGGAAAGCTAGACGTCACAGCAGTGATGACCCGTATTACAGGAGAAACAAAAGGAGAATAAAAAATAAGAAAAATGAATAAACAAGAAAACATAAATCCTGAATAGATTTTAAAAATGCTGATTATACCACAAGTAATGATTACCACTGGTGTGTTTTATTTAAAACTGACTTGCTCGTGTGTATTTAGGTTATTCCACATTCAGTGTTAATGCAGAAATATGTTTGTTTCCAAATTTAAAGGTTCAAAATTGCATATATGTTGATAAAGAAAATGTGCAAATTTGCCGTCACTTTTTCAAAAAATATAAAGTTTTGCCCTCGACTTTGTCCCAGAGTTTCATTTCGGCCCCGTGTGAGTTTGACACCCCTGAGCTAGCTGATCAAGGATAAATGGGATGTGTCTTGTAGCTTAGCCTTGGTTAAAATTTACCCAGAATACAGTGCGGTATTTTCAAAAGAACGTCGGATCAGGAGCAGGCAGCTCCTTCGGGGTCAAATTTCTAGTTTAAATGTAAGTCAACTATTTTTAACCATCTGGGGCTATAGCCGGGCGGTGGAAGCAATATTTGCGGAGCTCCTCAATCCCACCGACACACATTCCGAGGAGGAACCAGAGCTGGGAGACCTGGGGATGGACTGTCCAATCTCTGGGGCAAAAGTCTCTGAGGTAGTCAAACAACTACGCAGCAGCGGAGCCCCTGGGGTGGATGAGATTTGACCTGGGTATCTCAAGGCTTTGGATGTTGTAGGACTATCTATGTTGATACGTCTCTGCAACATTGTGTGGTCATTGGGGGCAGTTCCTGTGGAGTGGCAGGCCGGGGTGGTGGTCCCAATTTTTAAAACAAGGGACCAGAAGGTGTGTTTTAACTATAAGGGGATCACACTCCTCAGCCTCCTGGGAAAGGTCTACTCCAGGGTACTGGAGAGGAGAGTCCGGTCGATAGTTGAACCTCAGATAGAGGAGGAGCAATGTGGTTTTTGTCCTGGTCGTGGAATTGTGGACCAACTCTTTACCCTTGCTAGGGTAATGGAGGGGTCATGGGAGTTTGCCCAACCAATCCACATGTGTTTAGTGGATTTGGAGAAGACTTTTGACCATGTCCCCAGAGGCACGTTGTGGGGGGTACTCCAGGAGTATGGGGTGGATGGTCTTTTGCTAAGGGCCTTTCAGTCCCTGTACCAGAGGAATGGGAGTTTGGTCCGCATAGACGGCAGTAAGTCGGACCTGTTCCTAGTGAGTGTTGGACTCTGCCAGGGCTGCCCTTTGTCACTGGTCCTGTTCATAACGTTTATGGACAGAATTTCTAAGTGCAGCCGTGGTGTAGAGGGTGTGGAGTTTGGTGGCAGGAGAATTTCATCTCTGCTTTATGCAGATGATGTGCTCCTCCTAGCTTCATCAGGCTCTGACCTTCAGCTTTTGCTGGGGAGGTTCACAGCCGAGTGTGAAGCAGCTGAGATGAGGATCAGCACCTCCAAGTCTGAGACCATAGTTCTCGACCGCTGACTGGAAAAGGGTGGCTTGCCAACTCCAGGTCGGGAGAGAGGTCCTGCCTCAAGTGGAGGAGTTCATGTATCTCGGGGTCATGTTCACGAGTGAGGGACGGAGGGAGCGGGAGATCGACAGATGGATTGGGGCAGTGTCTGCAGTGATGCGGAACCGGTCTGTTGTGGTGAAGAGGGAGCTGAGCCGGAAAGCAAGGCTCTTGATTTACCAGTCGATCTACTGCCCAGTCCTCATCTATGGTCATGAGCTTTGGGTAATAACCGAAAGAACAAGATTGCGTGGCTGAGCTCAGCCTTAAGCCTGGTTCATGCTTCTCCGTCAGCTCCGCAAGGGACAGACACGCACGGATTGACGGAAGCGTTTTGCTCTCATACTTCTCCGTCTCCTGGAGAGTGTTGCAAAGCAATTCCCCGCCAGGACAACAGAGGGCGTAGCGTTGTTCTGTGATATCCTGTCATGTATCGGTCCAAGATGGTGTGTTAATATTGTGTATTATTTTTTGTATATAAGAGACTTTTAACACAGGCAAATTTGTCTATCATCCTCCTCCACCTCTTCATGCGCTCGCCACCTCTAAACCCACGTTTCCTGTCATTTCCGTCCACAAATAAAACGCTTGCTGTGCATCTGTTCACTCATCCAGTCACAGGCAATTAAACGTTCATGTTTTTAGAGTTTTTTCGCGAGGTATTCTTCAAGCTTCTCCGTGTCTGCTGCTAGTTATCCTCGGCTCTGTTTATGTTTTTGAGGGCGCAATGGCGGCGGTGTAGACGACAGCGGCGTCCTGACCAATCACAAGCTTGCGTTGTCCGTCTCGACTATGTTTAGAAAAGAGAGCTCGACTCCGTCCGTCCTTGGGGAGCTCTCCAGCAGGCCCGCAAGGACGTTGCGTGTCTCGGCACTGACGCAGACGGAGAAACATGAATCAGGCTTTAGGGATAGGGTGAGGAGCTGAGAGCTGCCTCCCCAGGAAGCCCCCTGGTTGACTCTGGACATGTTGGAGAAAGTACATCTCCGAACTGGCCCAGGAATGCCTTGAGGTCCTATCGGAGGAGCTGGTGGAGGTGGCCGGGGAGAGGACGATCTAGTTGGGATGCTGACCCCGCGCCCTGGACCCAGATAGGTGGAGGAAGACGAGAAGAGACGAGACAACATTTCATTTCTTATAGCGGGTACACAGAAGTGATGACAAGGATAAATTCAACTTCTGTGTTCTAAGAGCTCCCAAAAAGAAAATTGAATGGAGTGCATTAAGCAAAACAACTACAAAATGTTTTATGTACTCTTTAACATGTGCAACACGCACACACACACACACACACACACACACACACACACACACACACACACACACACACACACACACACACACACACACACACACACACACACACACAGGATCATAATAAAGAATGATGACGTTGTAATATAAGTAGGCAGCTGCGACTCAGCTGAGGTTATTCAAAATTAGAAAACAAACCTGAAGCAACATTAGGGTGTTAAGATTGCAGAGTGAAACAAACTTCACACGTAATGAGCATTGCACGGTAGTACCAAAAACTAACGGCAAACATGATGCAACTGTTGCCTTACAGTAATACATTGTGAAATCTGAAGCACTGGATCCCAGTTACCAGAGCATATCGACAGCTCTTTCATTTTTAACACTTAAATTAAAGGAGCTGTAACAAACCAAGAATTAGTTAAGTTAGTCTATTAATGTGTCCACTTTAGACAGAACTTGCTTCACATCACACAGAAAGCAAAAATCAGCAAAGCAGGCAGCAGTTGGCCCGGTCACTACAGATTTTGCTTTTACGAGAGAAAAGTTAAAGCAGGTTTTTAGGCAAACACCAGTTTGCCAACCGTTTCACGGAAACTGCAAAAGAAACTGAGATTACAAAAAAGCACAAGGAGTGGGCAGAAACAGGAATAAGCAAACTGCATTGAATGGATGCATTTAGCAAAACAACTACAAAACGTTTTATGTACTCTTAACATGTGCCACACACACACACACACACACACACACACACACACACACACACACACACACACACACACACACACACACACACACACACACACACACACACACACACACGTAACATTGTGCACATTTGGCTGTTTTTACCTTTTTTATCAGCACTATTTCTGATATTATTATTTTATTCCATTCATGAGAACACAAGGTGATATTAGATATATTATCGTTTTTGAACTTTGAACTAGTTACAAGGAATAAACACAAAAGATGGGCTAAATAACTGAAAACGAAAACAACTAAATGACTCAGGGTGGATGTGATTAGTGCTAATTAGGCTTAAAAAACATTTTGCACAAACATTCCTGACACCTACTCTGTGCTCTGGCCTTTTTAGAAGCGACCTTTAAGTCGTTTCACCATCTGCTGAGTTGCAGCCTGAATGATGAAGGCTAACAATGTCTGACAGGTGTGGCTGCCACCTCATTTTAAGTCGTGCGTTAGTGGTACTAAATGGCATCGCAACAACTGCACAGACCAATAAGGAATCACCAGACAAATGAGAAGTTCACGTAGACCTTGTGTAGTCTCTATAGCACATGGTGCATTTCGTTTAACTTCAGCTGTTTCCCACATAAAACTCTGACCTGACAGCAAATTAGTTCTTGTCCCAGTTTAAAGAACTCTCACATTACACAAAATCCCAAATCTCCTCGGCCCATATTTTATCACACAAAAAAAGTCAACTTCATTGCCATTGTTCCATTTAGCCAATAAAAAAAAGAAAAACCCAAAAGCCCTTGGCCCTTTTTTCGATGTTCAAGAAAAAATGTGCAGCTATTCTTTCCATTCCTAAGGACCACAATGTCATTATTAAGAATCATCTGAGGAAAAATATTTAAATATTTTATAAATTTCAAAGTACCAGCTGGTAATTTAAAGTGTCCCACGTGGATATAAATCAGGTTCTCTGCTCAGTTGCACATCTGGAGTGTCACCAGCAGGAGTCAGTGTAGTTTTACCGCTGAGCTGCACTGAGCAGCTTCTTCTTCTTGGCAGAAGTCGTTAGTTACCGCAGCAGCGCGAAGAAGAGAGAAGGTGAAGGTTTGTTGTGAAAACATCAGAGATATTAGAAAGGTTAGGGGTGACCGACCCGCTGCTGGAGTCTGTTAGCGTGTTGTTTTAGAGATGTTTAGCTAATGTGTAGAGAGAAAACCCTGCTATGATTTAGTTTTACACCCGTTTAGACCACCATGGGTCAGCTGTTCTCGTCAGAAGAAGAGCTTTCTCTCCTCAAGGAGGCACTTGGTTCTGTCATGTATGAGGCCATGTTGGAAGGTGGTGCTGTACCTGACCTCGGGGTCGTGCATCCTCTCTTTCTAGCCAATCAAAATGAGGATTCTGCTTCTCAGCCCCGTCTACAGGCACACCTGCAACAGGTAAAATGATTTTAAGCAGGCAGTGAAATTATGAGGCTGTTCTGCCTCACCTCGTCCACAATAACATTCACGTAAATTACAATAAATTGTGTATGATTGAAATTTTCGTGATATAAAAGGCATGCCATCAAAATGCATTTCATTTCGTAGTGTGCACAATGGTTTACGAGGCTACAGAGCGTTGTGTACATAAATAAATGCATCATGAAAAATGGTCTGTTTGCACTAATAAATTCTGCTTTCTGCAAACTGCAGACAGATTAAAATTGTAATAGCAAATTTTTAATTATTATGGTATCATCTGCATGTGACATCGTCCATCTCTAATGCATGAGTGGCCATGCAGTTGCATAAAGACAAAATGGTGCAAAGACACTTTGTGACTGCAAAATATCAGGTCATTGGAAATAGGTATGGATTTTTACGATTTTTTTTCTTATAAAACTATGAGAATTTTAGTTTGTGTTCATGACATCGGCCAATTTACCTCTTTAGTAGAGCCGATTTACAGTCAGGCTGGCACATCTGTGGGCAGCACTTTGCTGCTGCAGAGTTGTATTAAAATATCTATGTTTTTGAAAAAAGAGCAAGTAACCCCTGCCAGACTCAAATACCACTTACACAATAGCATCGGCTCCACTCCGCTCTGCTCGCCTCGGCCTGGCCGCGTTCATTTCACACCGCCTTAGGAATGCAGATGTGATTGAGAACGTAGGTGGTCTTTGGCCTGTGATGTCATGAGCACATCTCTTGGGACTCTGATTTTGCATCCTGCTTTGCTGTGTCTGGCAGCACTGTGTGTGTGTGCCTCCTCACAGCAGTGAGAGACAGAGTAAAACGGCTTCAGTCAGTGGCTCGTTAACTCTACATCATCCAGAATGATAATGAATCGCACATGTAGGAAGCCCCCTAGGGCTGATTCTATCTCCCAATCGGAGGCTCCCCAAACGTTATGTGATTTTTAGCTGGCCAATCAGCCGGCAGTGGGTGTGTCGGCCCAGTTCGGCTCCAGGTAGACCGCCTCCGGAAGAGGGCTGAAAAGACGGCTGGTTGTGCGCGGGAAAATCCAAATGAGAATACTCCCAAAGTGGTTCAGGCAGAGTGGAGCCAGTGCTAGTGTCTAAGCGCCAGATCTTCACCCCCATTTCCTGTTTCAAAAATGCTCCACAAGGAGGCATTGCATGGCAGACTGAGAGGGTGGTGCCGCTAACAAATACAAACACACACGCAGGCTTACAGCGGCATTGTGACATCATATGGTGCCAGCTAACGTCATAGGATACCTCTTAGACCAGGGGTGTCAAACTCATTTTAGCTCAGGGGCCACATTGAGGGAAATCTAGTCCCAAGTGGGCCGGACCGGTAAATTAAAAAAAAACTTCAGATTGTTTTCTTTGTTTTAACACAATCAATATAAAACGAGGCTGGAGCCTGAGGACAGTGTCGTACAAGTACAACACCTGAAGTGTACTTGAAAATTTGAAAAAATAGAAAATAAAAAAATCAACAAATAAAATAAAAACATTCCTTAGTGATTCAAAGAGCTTAAAGATCACATGGCTAGATCAGTTTCATGCAGCACTTAAAGTATATTTGACTCATTTTACTTTACATGTTTTAGCTTTCACCAGCACATCAATATCAGAAGTCACATCCTGAGTGGCAGCCAACTTCAGGATGGGATTCAAGTTCTTGTGTGGGCCTTGAGCGCAGCTTTGTTTTATTTATACTCATTACAGAGAAAACTTGCTCACAAAGATACGTTTATTTTCACCCTACATTGTAAAGTATGAAAATAAAGTTTACACAACCATCTCGCGGGCCGGATTTTACCCGCTGGCGGGCCGGATCCGGCCCGCGGGCCGAATGGTTGACACCCCTGTCTTAGACAGTAGCGATGGCAGATTTAAAATCAAATGTAGTGCAGAGTTTTTACCTGAAGAGGGCGCAACACTGACAGTTTTAGGCAGAATATTAAAATTTTCACTAAGATGCACTTAAGTGCTAGCCTAGTGAACTAGACCAAATTCTTGCTTTGCAAAGTAATACATTTATTTAGTCTGGCTTGCCAGGCTACTAAAGTGCCAAGTTATTGATTACATGCATTTATATAGTTTATCAGAAAAAAGCTGATTGGGGGGTGACTTGTTCTTAAATCAATGCTCAAAAACATTATTGTCAACTGACATTTCTTTTTTTATACACATTTAGATTTTTAATACCTGCTCAGTTTAGTCATTTGTTGGATTAAATGTTTGGTTTTAACACGGAGGAGTCACAGAATGAAGATTATACGATAGTTTAAATTCAGAGTTCAAAAAAGTATTCAGGTTCAGAAATGTTGTGCATCATCTGTTATAAGAAAATGTTAATATGCAGATAATGCAGAAAACATCTAGATATCAGGCTTGAAACTCGGTAGCACAAATCTGCCAACTGCTGGCGACGATCATCACATTTCAGCACTGGCAATAGAAAACCTGCATTGGTTGTTTTATATTTGGAAACCATACTGTCCAACCTGGGGGCCCCCGTACACTCAACACTTCCACCTGTCCATCCTCACCTCTCGGCATCCACAACCCCACTAGTTTTAGTGTTCCCCATTTAACCATTCAAAACTTTTCTCAATTTTCCATTTGTTTGAAACCCTCCTGTGTTCTCAGTTCCCTTACATTCCTTTAAATAATGTTAATGTTGTTTAGCTTTTAAGTTGCCCCCATAGTTTGATTTTATCTGTTAAACTGAACATAAAATCACTCCTTCTGCACCAACAGCCTGTGCTGGTAGACCAAAATTCAACCTTTATTGAAAAACACAAAACCACACATGTAGGACAACCCTGCATTAGGTGGTGTGCTCGCTCTGAAATAAACAGCGTGTGCAAAATGCTCATTGATCACCTTAAATCCACCAAAGTGCAGCTGGAGATGAAGTGGGAAGATGCTGCTGCCTTGACTCTGTTAAGGGAGAGGGAAAATGAAGCTCCTGTGTTTTAAAAAACGGAGCCCTGTGGGGATTAATAGGTCAGAAATCGATACAACAGGAAACGCGGAGCAGAATGATAATGACAGAATGTTTTCCCTTCAAAGGTTAATATTTTGCACTTGGCTGCATTAAACCATTGAGATGGATGATTGTATTTGACTTGCTATTTATAAATAACCTCCCTTTGTTTTTAATGCAGCTGCAGAGGGACATGGGAAACCGTGCGCCAACCTACCTGAGGGATCTGATTGGCCGACTGTCAGCCTTCTCTGACGAGCCGCGCCTGGCAGGCCTGGTGGGATTAGTGGTAACTATGGTGATGGATATGGCCTACTCGTCATCAAAGCGGCCATCAGGAGAGAAGGGAAGGTCAGCTGGGTCGTCGTCGTGTCAGGTGATTGTAATGAGGCAAATACGATGAAGCTGAAATATTAATAATAACTTTAATAATGCATGAATGCAATCAAAAAGATTTAGCCTTTTAGTACCAAATATGTAAACATATCTTTTAAAGTTATTAATTTTAAGCTTGCAGTATAATCTTCTGTGTTCAACAGTTTCTCAAATGTCATTGAGGCTTACAAACGTACCAATATGCATGCTCGTGATCATTAAACAGCATGCTATGATTACAAACTGTAAATAAATGATTTAGTTGACTAAGGATGTCTGTGGGATTCAATTTCTGAGGCTGATTGGGTTTCTGCAGGTGTGTCCTCTCTAGAACTGACTCATTCCCTGTGTTGATCTTAGTGTGACTGAAGTAGAAGACCATGCATGAATCTAAAATAAAAAAGCTTTGCAGGTTTATGTTTTCATATTAGTTCTTTTAAATGTCATTTTCAATGTGATCTGGACACTTTTTTAAAGTTATATAGCTATAGGACCACACATGATTAAAAAATTACTGTTGGCACTATGGAGACGTAATCTTTTATGAAATATAAGTCACTTTGAGACATTTTATCAACCTGGAAAAAAGTTGATGAAATCACACCCCCACCCACTTAATATCGTAACACTAGATCCCCAGCAAAGCATCATGGGCTCTTGAACGAGTAGAGAAGCTCAGGCAATACGCACGCCAGCAGCGGACTGGCCATCCAGAGCACCGGGACATTTCCTGGCAGTCTGGACCCCTTGGCGGTTGATTCCACCATGCGATTCTCCGCATGCACACACACTCTCCCTGGACTTCAATTATTGCCCCAGTCTATTCCTGACACTCGTCCACCAAACTTTGAAACCGTTCAGCTAGCGGTTAGCATTATAGTTGTACTCACTGCTCTGATCTACCCATCGGGTGATTGTAATGCCAGAATAGTGCCAAAATGAAAAATAATCCAGGTACTAGTTGAAGTTCAACAACAGTCATCTGTGACAACGATTCCAGTCAAACACAATCTGGCTCAGTCTTTGAGAGCTCCTGAATATAAAATCCAACCATATCTGTCCATTAAACTCTTCTTTAGGAAGAACATATTTCTGTACCTCTAGCTTGCAAAAATACAATTTGGCATTCTAGGCATTATTCAAAGTGCAGACTAGATAAAAGAGAAATCACTTCTCAGACAGTATGGATTAAATCACCCACTCGCTACTTTCAACTTGGAGGAAGTGGCCGTTAGTGTTTACAGTCCAGGGGATAGGTGTGCATCTCCCTGGGCTGCCACCTTACCTTGGTGGAGGGGTTTGAGTGTCTCAATGATCATATGAGCTAAGTTGTTTGAGGCTTTCTGCTTCTGGTAGGGTCACCCATGGCAAACAGGTCCTAGCTGAGGGATCAGACAAAGAGCAGCCTGAAGACTTCTTATGATGAATTATATAAATGTAAACCGTGTTCCCTCGCCCGGATGTGGGTCACCGGGACCCCCCTCTGGAGCCAGGCCTGGAGGTGGAGCACGTTGGCGAGCGCCTGGTGGCCGGGCTTTCACCTATGGAGCCCGGCCAGGCGCAGCCCGAAGAGGAAATGTGGGTCCCCCTTCCCATGGGCTCACCACTCGTGGGAGGGGCCAAAGGGGTCGGGTGCAGTGTGTGATGGGTGGTAGTCGAGGGCGGGGACTTTGGCGGTCTGATCCTCGGCTACAGAAGCTCTTGGCTCATGGAATGTCACCTCTCTGGTGGGGAAGGAGCCTGAGTTAGTGTGTGAGGTTGAGAGGTTCCGACTAGATATAGTCGGACTCGCCTCAACACATGGCTCTGGCTCTGGATCCAGTGTCCTTGAGAGGGGTTGGACTTTCTACCACTCTGGAGTTGCTCCCACTGAGAGGCGCCGAGCATACTAGTGGGTGGGCATACTAGTTGCCCCCCATCTTGGTGCCTGTACGTTGGGGTTTACCCCAGTGAATGATAGGGTAGCCTCCCTCCGCCTGCATGTGGGGGGACTGGTTCTGACTGTGGTCTGTGCTTATGCACCAAACTACAGTTCAGACTACCCACCCTTTTTGGAGTCCTTGGAGGGGGTGCTGGAAAGCGCTCCTTCCGGTGACTCCCTTGTTCTGCTGGGGGACTTAAACGCTCACGTGGGCAACGACAGTGAGATCTGGAGAGGTGTGGTTGCGAGGAACGGCCCCCCGATCTGAATTCGAGTGGTGTTTTGTTATTGGACTTCTGTGCCAGTCATAGATTGTCCATAATGAACACCATGTTCAGACATAAAGGTGTCCATATGTGCTCTTGGCACCAGGATACCTTGGGCCGCAGCTCGATGGTCGACTTTGTTTTTTTTTTTTCATTTGACCTGCGGCCGCATGTCTGGAACACTCGGGTGAAGAGAGGGGCGGAGCTGTCAACTGACCACTACCTGGTGGTGAGTTGGCTCAGATGGTGGGGGAGGATGCCGGTCAGACCAGGCAGGCCCAAACGTATCGGGAGGGTCTGCTGGGAACGTCTGGCAGAGTCTCCTGTCAGAAGGAGCTTCAATTCCCTCCTCCGACAGAACTTCCAAAATGTTCCGGGGGAGGCGGGGGACATTGAGTCTGAATGAACCCTTTTCCGTGCCTCCATTGTTGAGGCGGCCGACTGGAGCTGTGGTCACAGGATCGTCGGTGCCTGTCGTGGTGGCAACCCCCAAACCCGCTGATGGACACCGGTGGTTAGGGATGCTGTCAAGCTGAAGAAAGAGTCCTATCAGGTCTTTTTGGCCTGTGGGACTCCAGAGGCAGTTGACTGGTACCGGCAGTCCAAGTGGAACACGGCTCGGGTGGTCGCCAAGGCAAAAACCTGGGCATGGGAGGAGTTTGGTGAGACCATGGAGCAAGACTTCTGTTCAGCTTCGAGTGCGCTACCAACACTATCGATAGTGGGGACGGTGTGCTGCTGATCTCTACCCAGGATGTTGTGGATCGGCGGGCAGAATAATTCGAAGAGAATCCCACCAACACGTCTTCCAGTGAGGAAGCAGAGTCTGGGGACTTTGGGTTGGCCTCTCAAATCTCTGATGCTAAGGTCACTGAAGTGATTAAAAAGCTCCTCTGTGGCAAGGCTCCAGGGGTGGATGAGATCTGCCCGGAGTTCCTTAAGGCTCTGGATGTTGTGGGGCTGTGTTGGCTGACACGGCTCTGCAATATTGCGTGGACATCGGGGTTAGTCCCACTGGACTGGCAGACCGGAGTGGTGGTCCCCTTATTTAAAAAGGAGGACTGCAGGGTGTGTTCCAACTACAGGGGATCACACTCCTGAGCCTTCCTGGTAAGGTCTATTCAGGGGTTCTGGGGAGGAGGGTCCGTCAGATTGTTGAACCTCAGATTCAGGAGGAGCAATGTGGTTTTCGTCCTGGCCGTGGAACACTGGACCAGCTCTATACCCTTAGGGGCATCCTGGAGGGTGCGTGGAAATTTGCCCAACCAGTCTACATGTGTTTTGTGGATTTGGAGAAAGCATTTGACCGCTTCCCTCGGGAGGGGGCCCTGTGGGCGTTCTCCAGGAGTATGGGGTACCAGGCCCTCTGATATGGGCTGTTAGATCCCTGTATGACCGGTGTCAGAGCTTGGTCAGCATTGCCGGCAGTAAGTCAGGCTCGTTCCCAGTGAGAGTTGGACTCCTCCAAGGCTGCCCCTTGTCACAGATTCTGTTCATAACCTTTATGGACAAGATTTCTAGGCGCAGCCAAGGTGTGGAGGGCATCCGTTTTGGTGGCCTGAGGATCAGGTCTCTGCTTTTTGCAGATGATGTGGTCCTGTTGGCTTCATCAGAACGTGATCTTCAGCTTTTGCTGGAGCGGTTCACAGCCGAGTGTGAAGCAGCTGAGATAAGAATCAGCTCCTCTAAATCTGAGACCATGGTCTTGATTTGGAAAAAGGTAGAATGCCTTCTCCGGGTCAGGGATGAGGTCCTGCCCCAAGTGGAGGAGTTTTAAGTATCTCGGGGTTTTGTTCATGAGCGAGGGAAAACTGGAGTGTGAGAACAATAGGCGGATTGGTGCTGCATCTGCAGTGATGCAGGCCTTGTACCGGTCTGTCGTGGTGAAGAGAGAGCTGAGTCGGAATGTGAGGCTCTCGATTTACCGGTCGATATACGTTCCTACCCTCACCTATGGTCATGAGCTTTGGGTAGTGACCGAAAGAACGAGATTGCGGATATAAGAGGCCAAAATGAGTTTTCTCCAAAGAGTGGCTGGGCTCTCCTTTAGAGATAGGGTGAGAAGCTCGGTCATTCAGGAGGGTCTTGGAGTAGACCCGCTGCTCCTCCACATCGAGAGGAGCCAGTTGAGGTGGCTCGGGCATCTGGTCAGGATGCCTCCTGGATGCTTTCCTGGTGAGGTTTTCCTGGCACGTCCAACCAGGAGGAGAACTAAAGGTAGACCCAGGACACGGTGGAGGGACTATGTCTCTCACCTGGCCAGGGAACGCCTTGAGATTCCCCCGGAGGAGCTGGCCCACGTGGCTGGGGAGAGTGAAGTCTGGGCCTCTCGCCTTAGGCTACTGCCCCCGCGACCCTACTCCGGATGAAAATGGATGGATTGATGGGATAGGTGTGCAGTTAAAGGACTACCCTAGGGGCACTGCAGGATGACACAACCCTATTCCATCCAGCCATTTGCAGGTGCTTGGTAGACCTGCATAGGATCTATAGCCAAGGCAGACAAATGCATACGCAAAACCAAAAACCTCTCTGGCGGATGTTTTCGATGAAGAAATAATATAACATGGTCAAAAGCTTCAAAAGGTGGATTTTGCATGATTTTATGGCTTTAAAATTTCAGTCCCTTGTTGTTGATGAAAGGAAAAACTAAATTAGATTTTCCACCTTCAGCAGAGAATCTGGGAGCTTGAAGAGGTAATGGAGGAGTACCTGAAGCGCTGTCGGATCAACCTGAGTGATAAAAGCAGGTTGATCCAGGACTCTTTCAGACTTGAAAACCAGTTCAGCCTCCTCCTCACGCAGCTGAAGGCCTGCCTGCTGGGTGGGGACTGCGACTCCAGGTGAAGGACAGTTTTACAGTGTTTGATGTTGTGGGGATGAGGATTTGCTCCGCCTTTAAAGGGACTTTACGGAGTTTTGAATTTTTATGCTCGCGATTGCCCCCTCGGGCCAAAAGTGTAACGGCAGCTTCAATAGGAGGCTCGTGCACGAGGCGCGCATGCTGTACGTGCACACTCCTTAACGAAAATAACAGCTGAGCCGAAGCTCTGTGGAGCTGACAGTCCCGTGTGTGTGTGTGTGTGTGTGTGTGTGTGTGTGTGTGTGTGTGTGTGTGTGTGTGTGTGTGTGTGTGTGTGTGTGTGGCCCAGAGGACAGAGTACAGGAGAACGCGCAGCTAATTAATTAAACAATTTGGTTCTGTACCTTTCTCTTCAGCACAGCTGACAAAGGTTTAAGATGGGTCAGTCCTCCTGCAGGCTCAGATCATTCCCTTCCCTTGCTTGAAAAATTGTTCCAAAATGAAAGTTGAACCCACATCTTTTTTATCTGTGAATTGAATGCCGTTCGGCGAGTCTCAAATAAAAATTTGGGCATCTTACTGTAAAAAAAATATATCATTAATGTAAAAAGGAAACTCTAAAACAACCATGTTCACATCCAGAATCGAACCCAGGTCTCCTGCACAAAAGCCCGAAATCTTACAAGGCGAGCTAAACCACCAGTGGTGACTTCTGTATCTGTAACATTTATATCCTTGATCACAGCTGGAACAATGTTCAAAGAACGGTTCAGAGGGCTATGCCTGAGCGTGAACGCACATGAAGCAGCCTGCTCGACCCGAGCAGCTCTCTTTTACTGTGATTTTACAGAAAAACAGGCAATCACAATAAAAATGCCAGGGCTCATTCTACAGGACCAGGGCATTTCTGGAGAATGCATGAAAAAGAAATGTATTATTTCTATACATGTTTTGGCTGTCAAACTTCCATAATGCCCCTTTAATGCTGCTTTCCTGCAGGTCTCTGAGACACTGGGCGTGTGGAGCAGCTTTTCACACTCAGATGTTGGCTCACCTGTCTCGTCTGGAGGAAAAGGCTGAGCCCTTTTCTGCCAGGGCAGCTCTAGATCAATACAAGCAAGATCTCAAACAGATAATTCCTGCCTACAGGTAAAACTAGAAGTGCAGCCGTATTATTTCAGCTCACAGGAAAAATATTCAGCCAGCCAATTCTTACATAATCATGTGAGGGAAAACTAGACAGCTAAAAATGTTCTAGTAGTTTGAGATCAGACAGCCCTTGAGCAAATGAATCAGAATTGTCTATTAATTTGAGAAAATGTTTTAAAAGTCCATCTCAGAAGAAAAGATGATTAAGTGCTTAAGGTTGTACATCTCCATGATTTCCTTTATCCTTTATCCTAATTTTCTGCTTTTCATCTCAAATTCTTCCTATTAACCGATATGAAATGCCACAGGAATTATAGGTCTAATACAGTGGTTGTGGTGAAATGTCGAGGAGTCCTTCTGGCAAATTTGGACCCATGCAGAGAGGTGCCAGAGGACGGCACCATGACAGGACTCACCGTGATGGACAGAGAGACAGGAAAGAGTGTGAGCATTCCTCTCTCCACCATGGAAGCAGATATAAGTAAGCTTTCCTTATCTAACTTGTTAAAATGTTTTTGTTTTGTTTGCATTTAACTAAAAAAAATCCTATAATTAACAGGAAGAAGATGTAACGATTCTGATCACAATGCTTTAAATCTGGACCTCATCACCTCAGATCAGTACGCTCAGGCTTATCTAGATCACCTCTTCTCCAGTAAGGGACCTCTGGCAGAGCTGGAAAACTACTTTACCCAGATAGATGAGAGACTGGGAATGCAAAGGTACGACAAGCAAAGTAAAAGCAAGAATGCAATAAGAGAGATGACCGAACAAAGGGGAGAAGTGCATCTTTCAGACATGGTGGAGGGAAACACAGAACAGCAAAAAATTGGTGCGAAGGAAATCGGAGAATGGACAACAGAACATACGGACGGTGCAGCCAGTTTGAAACTGAGTATTGTAGAGACACAGCCTGAGGAAAGCCTCAGTCAGACAGATTAGGGATCACCAAGTGCATAAATGCTGATTTCAGTCGCCCACTGAAGGAAAAAAAACTTAAGCGAAATCTGAGATTTTATGTTTCTTTCTAATTCAGAAAAGAGCTTATTGTTCAGTTCTCAGGAAGACATCACAAGTAACCTTTATTCTGTTTGGATGCTGCTATTCTGGATTATTTTCTAAATAAACAAAAACATGCATGTTGACAAATGTTTGTAACTGACACCATTTCTAAATTTAGGCTTTATTTTAGTGAGTGTTTTTTTTCTTTATATATATATATATATATATATATATATATATATATATATATATATACCATAATTTCCGGACTATAGAGCGCACCTCAATATAAGCCGCACCAACAAAAAAAAAAAAAAGGTTTTCTACACACACGCGCCGCACTCAAATACAAGCCGCGGCGCAGCAGCCACATGCAGGTCTCCGGCACACAGTGCATGTATGGCCATAACATAAGATAATGAGACAGAAAGACGCTACACAGAGGTTTTTCGTTGTTTTAATTCAACAAAACTAATTTTAAAGACGGGTGAGCACTGATAGCATTCATATTTCTGGATGGTTATAAAACAAAAACAGAACTGACACGTTATTACCGGTAATTTGCATGTTTAGAAGAAAAGAACAGCGCTGACACAGCATTCATAAGCCCTGGATGATTAGAAAATAAAAACTGCACACAAAGCATGCCTGGTTAGTAAATAAAAGCCACTTGCCTACCAGAAAAAGTCATTTGCTCTCATCTTCCTCTTGCACACTGAAGCCATTAAAGTCCTCTTCTCCAGTGTTGGAGGTGAACAGCCTCAGAAGAGCTTCGTCACATACCTTTTCTGTGGCGATGTCAGTGTCGCTGTCCGTGTTACTGTCATCATCCTGGGTGAAGCTGGCTTGAATGAGTTCTTCCCGCTGCTGTCTCCAGCGCCGAACCATGGATTCATTCATGCCAAGCTTACGTGCGGCAGCACTGTTTCCCTCCTTTACTGCCAGATCGATGGCCTTCAACTTAAATGTGGCAACATATGAACTCATACGTGTAGTTACCATGATGAGGGGGTATGGATCTGAAAAAAATTATTTGTCGTGCCGGCTGCTTGCATGTGCTGAATTAAAATGAGCACTTTCTTCGATTTCCACTTTTGACTTCCACCTGTTTCACTTTCTGCTAAAGCGCCCCCTGGCAGGTGAAGGAAAACCTTCAGTAAAGCCGCATCTCATTATAAGCCGCTTGGTTCAAAGCGTGGGAAAATAGTAGCGGCTTATAGTCCAGAAAATACGGTATATATATATATATATATATATATATATATATATATATATATATATATATATATATATATATATATATATATATATATATATATATATATATATATTGCCTTTCAGTCTAGTTCTTTCTCCAAAGTCAGTATTAACTCATGTTTATCAGGTACATAGCCTCATATATGCCCATCTGTACCACACCTATATGTGAGAAATAAACATTCTTCCTCATAATGGATGTTAAAAAACACCAACCCTTAAATAAAAACAAATTTAGTCTGTTTTTGTTGCTGTTCTATAAATTAGTGTGAGATGATAGAAGGAATACGTGTTTCTTGAAGGAAAATGCTGTCCCTTCAAGCTAACTTCCATAAAGTACAAAATGTTGCTGCCTGTTCTGTCAAATAACAAGAAAATCCTTTCAAACTGAAATTATTTCTTCAAATTGTTAAACATTCACTTAATTTTCAGATCCGATGAAAGGTACTTAAAGATGCAAAATTTGAGAATAAAGTAAGAGTGCCATCCAGTGGTCAAATTGGGTTACTGCTGCACATTTTTCTAAACAAATCACTTTCTCACTGTTCTGTGAGTTTCATGGCATTTGCAAGGTACGGATGAGTGCCAGGAGATTCAAAATGACAAGCAAAGATGGGCCATACAAAGTAAGTTCATAAGTAGATAAATACATTGTTATATCCTGGTGTTAGCACTCTGTTGTTTTACGGAGGGAGTACTTACAGCACTTATTATGGATATATGCCTCTGGCATCAGAGGAAGTTTTACTGTGTTGCTGTTAGCTTGCTGGTATCAGTCTGTTAGACGACAAATCAGGTGCTGTAGCATGTTGCATGGTGGTCGTGTAGGGTTAATAAACTACATATCTAGGAATTAAAGGCTGTTTCTATCAGCTTATGTTTTAATCCCTAAGAAGATCAAATAAATTGACGAATGAAAATTTTATGCATATATATATATATGTTTGTGTGTGTGTGTGTATATATTAGGGTTGTCACGATACTAAAATTTCAAACTCGATTCGATACTGGGAAAAAAACTCAATTTCGATGCTATTTAAAAACACCAATTTATTGAACAAGTTTATTCAAAAAATAACATTCCTCAATTTATATTGCAAAAATTAAATGTTAAGAATTAAGTGTATAAAGTGCTTAAACCTTTCAAGTATCAGCATTTTTTAAAATGTGCATACAAAAACTGGCGAAAGTTAACACTTTAAATCATGAATTGTCTCACTATATGCACTATTTGCAGAGTGATGTTTTGCTGCTTCAATTCTGTTTAAGGTGCATTTTTGTCATAAGATGTAATGCCATATATTTTGTTCTGTACTTTTGAACAACTCTGTTGGTCAATAAAGGGAGAAAACAAATTTCTCCACAGTAGGACAAAGGTACATCTACCGGTAATCTTAATAAAAACAGATTAGCGTACGGCAGTGATGTCATTAAAAGCGCCGGTTAGATTAGCCACGGCTAGTCTGTTTACGCCTAGAAATCCCAGACCCGCTCCAAACAAACAGGGTAATCACGTTAATGATTCCTAACAAAACCTTTCGACATTGAGATGTTTTGGTGCAGATAATGTCTTATTTCGAGGCTGCACCATGGGTGCCCGGCCGCACCTGTTATATGGATATACACTGACGGCGATTCGCCGATGGATCTAAATACCCCGGGGAATCCAAGTAGCACCAAAGTTGTCAGCGTGAGTAAACAAACGTACTGCATGCTAGAAATTAAGTCCGGGTTGCAATAAACGGGAGTTTCATTTAAGCACATAAGCGTGAATATACAACTACGTGTCGGACTTGGTACGCTAATTAAGTTGGGCTGTGAAGCGCCTCCCAAATTCGCTGTTTATGTTTTTGTTTATTTATTTGGCAGACAAAACTTGGATCAGAGACAACTCGCGTGGGAAATTGCAATGTTGCCATGCGGCGTCTTCTTCTTCTGTTTGTCTGGGAGGCGGAGGCTGCTTTACGGCATCTGGCTGTCGTGCGTGTCGGTGTACTTGAAGAAGGCTGTGTATAATAGTCCATAATATCGATACCACAGGGATGGCATATCTTATTTAGATACCACATTTAGTATCGATTTATATCTAGGTATCGATTTTTTTGACAACACTAGTATATATATATAATAGATAGAAATTCATACACCAACTTGCCTGGTCTATGTTTAATCAAAAGATTATAATATTTAATTAAAGATTTAATTTAATAGCAAAAGTTATTTGTTAATTCAGAAGATCTAAAGATCTTTGCTTGTTCAGTGATCAATATACACCCACTCTGTGTTTATTTCAAGAAAGTTTAAAAAGGTTATGAAATTTATTACTAAACAATTTAAACATGACAATTTAAAAAGACAATTTATAAAAGCTTTGGTATTAAAAAGACTTTGGTATTAAAAAGCAACCCTGTGTTTAGATTAATCTAAGGCAAAGTGTGTTTTGTTTGCGGGTGAATGGTCTCAGAACGTGTATCTTGAAAGAGAGGACGCGTTCTAGGTGAAAAAGAATTTGGTTTGCGAATAAGCTACGTTGTTCTTAAAAGAGCATTCGGACGCAATCTGTGTCTACCTCACCGTCAGACGACCATCGTCATGGATCCGGAGGTCAGAGGAGGATGTTGAACAGCCTCAGGGTACTGGGTCCGGTAGGGAAGACCGATGGTACCGACTTCTCCGGTCCTAGAGATGCCGCAGGCACACAGGTGGAATTGGTTTGCGTCTGCAGATTCTTAAGGAATCTCGTAGCATCAGCTTGTTCTGCAGGTGTCGTTTTGTTGTGTCGGAGCAACTCTGCCAGCATGACAGAAAATGCTTTGTTGGTTAAAGAGAGTGTGGGCGGCCGTCCCAACTTCTCTAGAACTCCCTCGCAAATGACGAGATTTCTGTTTTAAAAGATGGCAATTTCCATATTCCAACGAATCAGGTTTTGACATGTAGAAGGAAGGTTTTAACAAACCCTCAGAAACACGCCTCCTTGAAGGTAGAAGGTTCTGGTGTTATGGGAAAAGATCATGTGAGTGCAAATTACCTTTAACCTAGTTATTGTGACCTGTGTTTCTGTGTATAAGTGCACATGATTGCTTGTCATAGTTAACATTACTGATTATCATAAATAATTATTAACCAAAGAATAATAATTCATTCACTAATTAAACACAGTTATAATGAACCTTGATGATTAGCAGTAAAAAGAGTTTATTTAAATGATTCTTTTAAATCTTGAAATGTCCTCGTCTTGCTGTGGATGGAATAGCAGTCAGATAACCAGACAGCTGCATAGATTAAGGAGTGGTAGTAGACTATAAGTCTTCTGTGAAGGACGATCGGAGATTGGAGTAGTAGCCAGGGCAAGGTGACCCATGCTGTGGATCTGACCTGTGAGTCTTAAAATCAGGCCATTTCGTGACGCTACAGTCACTTTGTTTGTTGTGAGCTTATAAACCTGCAGAAAGTGGTACACTCATGTTGTGTGAAGGGCTGCCAATCCATGTTTCACAATTACAAGAAGCAAAAACTTGGTAACGACTTGAGATTTTATGGAAAACAAGTTCTGGACAGAAAATAGGAGAACTAACGAAACGTGGAATTGCTGGGTCGCAGCTGTCGGAAGGAAAGGAATAACTTTCAAAACGGCATCTCCCCACTTGTGTGTTTACTAGCAGCTTTTTCTTAAAGGCAAGTAAAATCCTTCCCTTGGCAGGGATGGCCATGTTGTTGCAGTCCTGCAGTTGAAATGTTAGCAGATCTTCTACCTAGCCACGTGTGAAATGTCCATATATCTCCAGTGACTGTTTTAAACTGCTGACATGTAGCTATGCGCTGATCCCAAACACTAGATGGTATGTAATATCCAGTAAGGTAGTTGGAGGTAGTAATGG